GCATTGGCTCGATCTCGGAAACGATACCACGTACGCAGCGACGATGTTGAATGGATGGCGAGAGTGCCGAGAAAGACGAAAGACTTGCGGGTAGAACTTGCAATTGATGGTGATGTCAGTCCAGGATTCCCGGAGAGACGCCCGTTCAACTCGGGCTCGAGCGATGTGGGCCCGTTCTCATCCTTTCTTTTATTCTGCTCGCCGCCTGATTTATTTCGCGCCCTTCAGTTCGCTTTGGTCTTTATACAGCACAAAGGCAAGGTAAGTCCCATCTTCTGGAACGGAAGCTTAGCCACATACACATTCATTTAAGTTCCAAAGAGCCTAAGAACGGTTCGATGGCGGAGGGTCCGCACCTGCGTTTCATCGCCTGGTCTTCATGGACCTGCAGGAGCCGCCCGTTCGACTCGGGCTCGAGCCATTTAGCCCTCAATTGCTTGGTTTTTTTCCCCCCAATGCAAGCCACCACAGTGATCCCAATTTCATTTATTTCTGTCTGAGACGCCATCAGCAACTTGGCGTGTGGCTGCAAGACGTCGGTCACACTGACAGGCCGGGTCAGAACCTCGAAACAGCTTAGCACGCTAGGTGGCGCTCCCCATGCGTGGATTCGCCGGGATGTACTCTGTCTATGCATTTTCTACCGCTGTAACTGAAGTTGGCTATTCCGCACATTTTTTGGCACGTTTCAAGCAAGTTTCAACTTACCCCTGAGTGTGCACCGCCAATGGAACGGATCAAACGGCACGGCACCTGCCGATCGCCTCGCTGATCACCGCGCCCTTTTCTCAGACGGTGGCTTCACCCACCTTTGCGCCTTTGCCAGCCCTCTCCGCTTCGGGACAGTTTGCTGTAGCGAGGCAATCAAGTCCGCAGTCGCTATCTTCCTCCGCAGTCTCCGACCATGCTTGTGGGGCGCAGTGCAAAAACAAGCGAGGGAATAAAAATGCCTCGCTCTTTTATTTCGCCGCATGCTTATATGCCGCGCCCGAAACTTTGACCGCTCACAACTCTCCCCGCACCACACCATGTCCAGAAACCTTCTCCGCTCGGCCATCCTCTTCGCAGCGGTCGCATCCGCCATGGCTGCCAAGCGGACAGACCCCATGTGCGTCTCATCTCTTGCGACAGAAAGACTTGGACTGACACATAAATGTAGAGGCGGCTTCATCCCCAAAAAGCTCCCTGCCGAAATCGCGCTCGCGCTCTACGCATTCTCTGCCCTCGTCTTATGGATAAGTGCGTCTCCCGTCCGCGACGCGTCTGCACTGCGAATGCCCGGCTTATTGGCGCCGACCAGATTACTTCCGCCAGCCGCGGCGCCCCTTCATGCTCACATTGACGCTCGGGATGACTGGTGCGTCCCGTGGCTTTACTCCCATTTCTTTCTGGTTCTGACGTCGTGCGGCAGCGATGGCGGCCGGTTTTGTCCTGCGCATCGTGTTCTCCAACTCGCCGTATTCGCTGGGGCTGTACATATTCATGGACTTGGTGCGCGCGCCTTCCATCTCCCGCGCGTCTCAACTCTAACCACTCAAGCGCAGTTGATTCTACTCTCTGTATGTGCCCTGCGCCCAGCCCACGATGTGTGCTTACCGCGTGCCTAGCCGTGCGCCTTCCTCGCGACGGACTACATGATCCTCGCGCGCCTCGCCGCCACCTTCGACAAAGAGGTGTACGAGAACGCGCTGCTCATCCGCCCGTCGCGCATCGTGCGGTTCTTCGTGTGGAGCGACGGCATCACGTTCTTCCTGCAGGCCTCGGGCGGGGGGCTCACCGCGACGAAAAACAGCAGCACCGCGAACATCGGGAACAAGGCGCGTGCTCCTCCCTCCCGTCCTGCCGTTTGCTGACAGTGCAGCGCATGTAGATCACGATGATCGGCCTGAGCCTGCAGCTCGCGTCCTTCGCGCTCTTCACGCTGCTCACCCTCGTCTTCGGCTGGCGCGTGTGCGTATCTTTTTCTGCAGCTCCTGACCAGTGCGTGCTCATCCTTCCCTCCGCGGCCAGACAGACGCGCTTCCCCAGCGCGTGGCGCCCCCAGCCCGGCGGCAAGCCGTTCACCGTCCTCGGCACGCAGCCCATCGGCGACTGGCGCATCCTCTTCTGGACGGTCTGTCTGACGTGCATCGGGATCCTCGTGCGTCGCCCCTCCCCTCCCCTCCCCTCCCTTCCCTCTCGCACACCTCTGACGCTGCCGTCCCCAGATCCGCTCCGTCTTCCGTATCGCCGAATTCGCCGGCGGGTAAGCCCCACCCTTCTACGCCCTCGCCCGACTTCGCTGACGTGTGTGCGCCAGGTACAACGGGTTCCTCGCGACGCACGAGGGGTACTTCTACGGGTTCGACTCGCTGCCGCTGTGGATCGCGATGAGCCTCTACTGCTTCGTGTGGCCGACGCGCTTCCTGAGCGCGCACGCGCGCCCGGAGGCGGTGGAGATGCGCAAGGAGGGGGGCGTCTGAGTGAGCGCTAAGGAGGGCTCTGGTGCCGCGGGATAATGTTAGAGGGGGTGCATCCGGGGGTGTATTTATGATATCGTAGAATGACTGGGGGCCTTGGGTGGACTGTGTAGTCCGGTACGAGTCGTGTATACCAGCGATTGCAGCATATACATATTAGTAAGGGTGGCTTCGCACATTAGGAACATGATTTAATCCCGCCAACTGTAGCTGCTACTCGCAGCTTTCTGCGGCCAATGTGTGCGATCCAGGTGAGGTGAGGGCGTACTGTTGTGTTGGTGAGTCAATCAATGCACAAAGACATCGCATTGGACTTGAAATACGCGCTTCCTCAACTCCATAAAAATCTCTCCGGATCCGGAGTGCTCGAGCAATCCTCGAGCCCAAATGTGGGCTCGCAGCGATTTGTGAGTCCTCGTGCTTCAGCCACAAACGGGGTTCGCGCGGAATAAACCATCGAATATCAGGTACAAACCACGTACAGAGCGGGAGGGAGCTGCGCGAAGCACGGTGCCTGCCTAAACAGCCTCGACCTTCTCCACCTCCGCCTTCGACAGCTCGCGATCGCCGCGCGGGCCCTGCCCCTGCAGCCGCACGCCCATGCCGATCTGCACGCCCCGCTCGCCCCGCGAGTCCGGGTCGCGCCTGCTGAACTTGCCGTGGAGCCGCAGCACGCGCTCCGTGACGTGCAGCCGCACGTATACGAGGAGCCACACGACGGCGAACATCGCGCCGCCGAGCGCGCCCATGCCGATGATGACGCCCGCGAGCGCGGCGCGGCGCTTGTGCGCGGGGTCGAGGAAGCCGTACGTGTAGAAGCCCTGCGTCGCGTGCGTGATGTACGCGATGCAGGCGTAGCCGCCCAGGAGGAGGACGATGAGCGGGGCGTGGCTGGGAGTTATCGGTGGTTGCGTTTGCATGCAGAGCGGCGGGGACGCACATGAGGGGCGGGCGCTCGGTGCGCGAGAAGACGATCTCGAAAACGGCGAAGGCGCTGTTCAGCGCGTGGTGCGATATCTGTGCCAGGGTATAAGCATCCAGCGGCGCGCGCAGCATAAACGACGCGCACGCACATTCGACCACGCGTTCGCGCGCGTATCGAACTTGTCCGGCGTGAACTGGATCCCCCAGAACACGATCGTGACCATGAGCGGGAACGTCACGACCGTGGAGAACAGGAGGCTGTGGAGCAGCTGCAGCGCGCGCGGCCAGCGATCCAGCGGCGCACGGCCCGCGTGCGCGTAGACGAGCGTGTGGAAGGCGGCGAAGAGGTGGTAGAAGGTGATCCCCCACCAGGTGATGGTGCTGAAGTACGAGAAGGACTGCGCGGCGGTTGGCGTCGCGCGCACGGCCAGGCTCACGACGATCGTGGCGACGCCGTAGACCGCGAACAAAGCGCGAATGCCGCCAAGGACGGCCGGGGGGAGCGTCGCAGACGTCTCGAAGCGGTGCTGCAGGTCGAAGGGGCCGTCGCGCATGTTGAAGAGGGCGTAGAAGCGCGACATGCTGGGGGGCGGGGAGAACCCATTTCACCGGCGGAGGGGCGATTCTTGTAGCAGCAGCTTCGCGAGCTGTGGAAATTGTGGAGGCATCACGCGAGAACGGAAGCGCGGATCGTGCCGTAACTGTGATTACGCGAGTTGGGGCCCCGTGGGGAACCATCGTCCGAGTTTGGAATAGTTCTCACGCTCGACTCTCACTCCTTCTTTCGACTCTCCAGCTCCCTGCCAACCGTCCGCCGCGGGATTTGTAAGGCCGCATAGGTAGCCTCTGTAAACAATTCTGACCAGTGTTCCGCACATTATCCGTGAGTTTTCATCTTTCGCGGCACTCTCGCCATCTATTCCCTCGTCTTTGCCGACGTGGTATCGTTTCCGCAGAGATATGGATAGACGCACATCTCAGCCCCGAATATGTCATTAGACACAGTTCGACGTGTAAATGGCATCCTTGATTAACGAGGGAACTGGCAAAAACTTCACGCTCGCCCTATGGCTCGATCCCGAGTCGAACGGGCGACGCCTGCGAGAACCAAGTTCAGCCAAATACAGGTGGTGCCGGTGCGGACCGTCCGCCATCGAGCCGTTCCTATGCTCCTTTGGACCCTGGACGAATGTGCGTTTGGCTAAGCCTCCGTTCGAGAAGATTAGACTTACCTTGACTCTGTGCTGTACGACCAAAGCGAGACACCTGAATGGCGAGAAAAAAATCAGCACGTTTGCGGAATAACCAAAGGATGAGAGTGAGCATGACTCGAGCCCCAGTCGAACGGGCGTCTCTGCAAGAACCCTTGACAGATATCACCATCCATCGCAAATTTGGACCATGGTATCAAGCCGCTCTTAGCGCAGTTTGAACCTTTAATTGATACCTGTGCAATTGCTAAGCGGTGTCAATGCAGAGTGGTCTTCACCTCCGCGCGAGAGATCGATCACCCAGCAAAACCTGGACTATGTTCGTAAACCAGAGCTGTTGAGATGCTGCGGGAGCCAGGAGCACGTGAATCGGACGAAGGAGGCAAAAACAATTGGATCCGGGGCACGGCTCGAGCCCGAGTCGAACGGGCGCTCCTACTTTGGCACTTAATGTGAAATAATCAATATATGCAGGCGCGGACCCTCCGCCATCGAGCCGTTCCTAGCCTACCTGCGAACCTGGATACGTGTGCGCCTCCTATCGTAATTTGGTCTGAGGCTGGGACACAGAATAGAACCCAGCGAGGTGGGATCTCAGGAACTTGGCTGATTTGCCTCATTTTGGCGCCTTTTTGCCATTTTTGCGGGCCCCGTATCTCCCTAACCCCTGTATATTTTTGTATGATTCAAAGTGGGGGATGGTAGAGAACATCTTGAACTACAATCTGATGGATTCGGCTCGTGGCCAAAAACATCATGACTCAAGTTTGAAAAATCGCGTTTGGGTTTTTTTCCGTATTCGGTCCCGAATGATGGCGCATCAATATATTTTGATCTTATCAGTGGGACAGAACGTTCCGTAGGGTCCTCCACCATGATCCTATGCTTTGGTTGACCCAAAAATACCCACTCCTTCTTGAGATATGCACGAAACAAGCATGTGACATTTCTTTTGTTGATATAGTGATTGGTCGGAGGCTGGGACACAGAATACAACCGAGCGAGGTAGGATCTCAGGAACCATACTGTACATTCGGAAAAGAGCGTCGTGCGGATTCGGGAACGCGGGACAGCACTATTCACCAAACAAAATTATCATTGCGGCCACGGGACATGAGTCGAACGGGGGCCTCCCGCAATACGGGATCATATATGACGATGAAGTGCAGGCGCGGACCGGCCGCCATCGAGCCGTTCTTAGGCTGGGTTGGAACCGGGACAAATTGTCGTGCCCACCGTGCTCGGTTCAAGCCTGAGGCTCCCTCTTCCCGGGGCTGGAGGCACAGGCCATCGCACCGCCGGGCTGGGCAAGAACGAGGCGGGCTTTCCCCCCTACAGAACAGCGGGTTCCGCTTCGCACGACGCAAAGACTAACTGGGCATGAAATCCTGGAACTTGTACGAACTGACGAACAAAAATCGTTCATAAACGAGGATGGCTCGAGCCCGAGTCGAACGGGCACCTCCCGCAATAGGTACATTATAACATTCTCCGTCACGATTTGCAGGCGCGGACCGTCCGCCATCGAGCCTTGCTTGCCGTTGGTTGCAACCTGAATGGATGTGCATTTAATCAGTGTAATAATAGTTCGACAAAGCCGCACGGACACTGCCGTCTGCATGCTACGGAGTACGACGTCCGACGAATAAGAGAAGGCATGTAGTTCAGGCTCGGGAGGACCTGGTGTGGAAGTTGCGGGCAATATTCAGCAAAGAAAATCACGACACCCAGCTACATGGCTCGCACCCGAGGCAAACCGGCATCTCTAGTATTTACCATTCTCGACGACAAATGAATGTACGCCCGGACCTTCCGCAATCGAGCCGATGTACTCTGCCCTTTGACCCTGCATATACATACAGCAGCACAGTTTGCAGCGAGATCTCGGGGTGCTCACCTTACATCAGCGCGTGGCACGCGCGAGAAACCGAGTCGCAGAAATCAAAAGAAAGGGGAAGGCTGAGAGGCTACATAAGCGGCGGGCTCGAACTTCGATGCAAAACAAGATGGAGGACACAAAGGGCGAATTCCGGATACCCAATCATGGCTCGTGCCCGAGTCGAACGGGGATCTCCTGCAGTCAACTGTTGGTGCACTGCAACGAGATGCAGATGCGGACCGTCCGCCATCGAGCCGACACTACCCTCCTTTGGACCCCGAATATTTACGCATTTGTTTTGCGAGCGCTAGCAGGAGATTCACTCTGACTCGACTCTCTGACTAGTATGTATCTTGGCACGTATTACAAATATCCCCAGGTGGGAGCAACGGGCCATTATGTATGGGAGGGAGAAAAACTTGAGTGAAGGGCGACCTGCTAACAAAAAAACTTGCATTTGTTGGAGGACACCGGAGGAGTAATCTCGAGAGCTGTCAGAGGATGCGAGACGGCCTTTTTCCAAAAAGAGGACGCAACAAAGGATGGGAGGGCTCGAGCCCGAGTCGAACGCATGTACATGAGACCCTGGAGATGAACCCTCCGCCATCGAGCTGTTCTGTGGCTCGGTTGTAACCTGTATAATGTGCAATCGTTCAGCGGTGTTGATATACATGTATGTCGAGGACGGACACTCAAACGCGTTCTCTCTGAGAGTATGTACCTGGGTGTTATCTAGTCTCTCGTAGACAGATGCTTCAACAGATGAAGCTCGTACCTCGCTTGAGGTGGTATCCTGGAGCAGCGGAAATTAGTCGCCAGGGCAATTTGCAATCCGTGCATCGGATTTAGGAGGAAAAAATCCAGTCCCAGACGTACGGCTCGAGCCCGAGTTGAACGGGCATCTGGTGTATAACCCTATTTGAACACAATCCCTTCAAGTGATGTAGGTGCGCACCATTTGCCATCGAGCCGTACTTCCCTTGTTTCCAACCTCAATATATGTGCCTTTTAAATTTTGTCGCGAGTCTTGGGCTGACCCGGAAGACGGGAGCAGACTCCTCTCGACAGGCAGCAGGCACGGATTATAGGCGCCGTGACGCCTATCATGCTGCGTGAAGAACACCGGTTGCATTGGGGCTCTCTCCGTTTCCTTTTCTCCCAATCCCCCCCGTCCTGAACAATTACCTTTTTTTCTCGCGTTCCTATCGGCACACCAGAGTTTTCTCTCCCCTTTAAGCTTCATAACATGAAACCACTTCCTGAACCACCATAGAGATATGTAACTCAATAAATGAAGACAGAGCGTGGGTCCTGTACCACCGACTCCATTCCTGTCGCTCGAGAACTTGAAATAGTACGTCCCTTGACCGATTCCGTTGATTTCCTTAGTCTGTGCGCACCCTGCACAAAAGCCAGTCAAAAGAAATTTCGATGGTGGCCTAGGGGATTGAAAGACGCGATCACTGCAGCCGGCTATCACTCACTTTCTTTCCTGGTCCAGAACAATTTGAAGCGCCAAGTTCTGGTGGCTGTGTGAGTCCCTAACGTTACGGAAGCTCCCGGAGGCTGTGCAACGTTCCCTGCCGGTCGTTTTTTGAAGGGCGATGGTTCTTTCCCTCCAGCCCCCCGAGCTCTTGGACCCAATTGTCGTGTTTATCCCTCTCCGTAGCGATCTGCTTCCTTTGCGCTGGTACCTCCCCGCCATCCTGGATGACGCACTAATTAAACTAAGTAGCAAATAGGAATGAAAAGGGGGGGGGGGACGGAGAAAACATATCATTCCCGGGTGAGCGATGCGAGGCAAGTGATGCAGCCGACGTTAGCCGAGATCACAAGATAATCGAAGTTGCCGAATACAATCTACTACTGGTCAACCCACGGGTCGATGCCACGGAAAAGGAGATGAGTTGTGCCGCTGATTCGGAACCTATGGCCGTTCAGAGCTGCCATTCTCACAGCTAGCCAAATCTCGTTGCAGCGCCCAATGAAGTCGGCACGCGTGAGATGGGCTCACCCGGATTGGGTAGCATAGGAAAACAAAGGGCAGAGTTGGGTACGTCTGCGTTGACGACGAGGTGATGTTCCAACGCGGCGACAACATCAACATCGTCGAAGGTCTCCGTCGATGTGATCCAATCACCCGCGGATATCTTCGTTTTCGTCTATGGGACTTTGAACTGCACGAATTTATGGTTATTCGCGGCTGTACCGCGCTTCTTGGGGGCAACCAGGGGTGACGTGTCGCGAAGAGTCGAATTGGGAAGGTGAGTCGATAAGACGTTCACCCAGGCGGGCACAGTCTCTCCAGGTCATTGAAGCGGCGGCCCAGATTGCAGAGTCCCGAGTGTTGGAAAGGTTAAGAGCCGCACGCAGCACTGACATGTGGTGGAAAGAAACCGGGTCGCGGGGTCTACAGCGAGAGGAAGGGGGCTCTAGCTTCGAAATACCTTTCCTGGTGCGACTTAAAAGTGCGTCGCCAGCCCAGGGAGCATTGCTCACCGCATGCCAAAGTTGGAGGCCTGCGAGCGAAGTCGAAGCAGTCCCGCTCGAAACGCGCCCGGCGCCCTACGAAAAGATGAAAATAGAGGGGAGGGATTCGCTGGCGGGCATCCTCTGACTCTCGGGTATGTTGTGCAAGTCGCAAAAGTGGTTGAATCGGAGTAAACCCGCGCTGTTGGAGCCGTGGGTCTTCCCATCAACCGACGCACCAACAGGAGTTGCTGCCAGTGCCAAATTAAATCCGGAGGGAAAGAGGATGAGAGGGAGCGTAAGGAATGGAAAGAATATGGGGTTTTCCAGGACATAATGCAATCCTTGGCAATGACGGAGGGACGAAGAGGAAAGGGCTTGAGACGATCATATGGGTCAGACGAAGTTTGAGGTCCAGTCGATTTGCGTGCAGCTTGCGGCCGAGAAGGAGTGACCGATCGCCCCTCCCCGACTGTACGTAAACGTTCAACATCAGCTGAATTGGATAGCGCTAACCTGAATGCGAGCTCAGGTGAGGCGAGATTTAGCGTGGAAGGGACATAGTGAGGGGATATCGACAGATTGCGAGGAATTAACATCTCGATGATCCATCGAATCGACGAGTTGCGATGGATATTGCGCGAACGACCCATTTTATAGGCGTCGATTACGGAGGTATTGTCACCGTTGATGATGATGTTAGCGTCCAAATAGTCGCAGTGGCACACCACCGTGCGGGGTATTTCAATGGCAATAAGTTCGGCCCAGTCGATATCTCGACCTTCTGATTTCCAGTCTGGAAGCAATTTCCAAACCGCCCAATAGCCGTTAATCAGAATCCCAACACCAAAATCAGTCGAGGTGTCGACCCAGATATTGAGATCAACGGTCGTGCGAATCAGGAGGGAGCGCGCCCAATTTCACTAATACTGCCTCCCATTCCCTCGTAGGAGATGTCGACCTGGCGGAACTCTCAGTCCTGAAGAGCATCAAAATATAAAATTTCTCGATGAATGCGCTCAACCCTGCCAATCACGTGGTGCACCTCGTTGTGCAAATCACCATTTTGTTAGATGGCCCAGTCTCAGATTTTCCGCCTCAGATGTCAAACTCAAAAAGGATATTTTGATCATGGCACCAGTTCGGCAAATGCTCTAGGCACAACTCGGCAGAACGGTATATCGCACGAAGTCCTCAGCGCGCAGAGTGCTCGCTCTTGGGGTGCAAATCGAATCGCAAGATATCTGGTACTGGAGATCTTCTTAGGTGGTGTCGTGAATACTAAACTCTCGTCGTAAAGAATGGTCTTTTCTTCAATGTTACTAATAAATCACCATGTTGAACGCGGGCGTTACCGAAGGCGCAATGCTCTGATCCTCCGCGGAGATAGGCAGTAACTCCTCTCGCGGTTCATGGTTCATCTCCACAAATCTATCCTCATCAAGAACCAATCAAGCTTCAGTCTGCCTACTAATAGTACCAATATAGTATGACAGACCCCTTTTCTCGTAGTGTGTTCACAATCAATGTCCCTGTTCTCAATGCTTTCGTAGTTGCATCCAGGGAAACCCCAAATCACTGTGAGCTGCTAACCTGTCTTCATCTTTCTTTTTCGAATACCGGCGCCTGTATTAGCTTCACCGACAAGTCCTCTCATGTCCTCATCCACGCCAACATGTCACTGTACGCGAGTGATCTATGCTTCAAGTTGGCGGACATAGCTTAGCTCCATCGCTACCATGATCTCCGATGCCAAATGAATGACTTTCCGATGCTGCTGACACGACACACTTACAGACTCCAATATAGATCACCCCTCTATCCTTAGCAGGAGTAATGAACCCGAAGAGATGAAACCCGAGGATATCGGCAATACAAATAATGGATCCTCGGGTGGTGCAATTGAATCACTATGTGAGATATAAGGAGGGCACTTTGGCCAGTGCTGTCATGACTGCAACGACGATGCCCTTTCAGCCCACTCCCGTGGAAATTCGCCTGAACAATGTTATTGACTCCCTCAAAGCCGCTCTCACTACTTTGGATGCGGTTTCCGAAGGCCTGAGGGCTCCATTCTTGCAACTTATCTCAAACGCGACACGGTCTCTGTTGGCTGCTGTCCAGGTGCTTTTCTTTTACAAGATATCCATCCCACTCATTCTTACTGAAGTTTGTTAGACTGT